ACGAAACGAAAAAAATGATAGGAATATCAAATATATTCAGATAGAGAAACATATATATCCGGAAAACAATTTTCTCCGGAGAAGAAAGTTTAACGATCGATCGAGCGAGACCTTTGCTCGAATGAATCTCACCGAGTTGGTTTACAAATCGTTTAAGAGGCAAAAAGAGCGAGGAGAATAATTCCAATATTAGCTACAGTTCGAGCTACCATCGTTTCAGCGATGTGTGAACGAAACCGAGACATCTTTTTGCGGCATTGCACGCGGTTATAAATCATGCCTCACGTGCACATTCGTGGCGAGCCTATTTGATTGCGTACGTATAAGGGATTGGATACTACACGGTCGCGATGCCGTTACCGAATGGTAAAAGTGACGATATAATTTTAGCCGGCCATTAGAAAGTGAATTACGAAAACGTCTGTAACTCGTAGAAGAGAGTGGCGCTTGCCACAACAATTAGTAGATTTAATTTTAAGCGTTTTGTGCGATCCTTAAATCGATAAATAAAAAATGGTGGAAACGATGACGACGTACGCGCACGATTACAGCTATTACTACCTTTATTACGAAAACTATGAGTCTCGTGTGTATTTTTCAATCGTTTCGAGATTCGGTCGTACACGGATACAATAACACACACACACACACACACACACACACACACACACACGTGCGCGCGAGACGAGTATCGAACTCTAAACGGAGTTAAACTTCGTGAGAAACGATAAAATCGTGATTTCCTACGGGGTGCTTATAGTTCGATTACTCTCGTATTGTGGATAACCGACGAGAAGATATGAGAAAGAGAGGGAAAAAAAAAAAAAAAAGGAAACGGCTCGCGTTTCATAGCGTTGCGAAACGAATGTAACTAGAACGAGTGACAATTTTATCGTAATCGCGCCTTTTATTTCGCCATTTCAAACCGCACGCGGCCTATCGACCGTTTCTAAAACGATCGGTATAAACCGTCTCGTCTACTCAATAGCATACTAATACCCTTTATGGCGTCACCGTGATTCCATCTTGCATAGCCAAAGTCAATTACAGAGAAGCAACATTTTCACGGTTGAAAATCGCCTTTAACTTAACCGAACGAAGCGAGAACAATTCCATCTTTTTATAAGATCTCGGACGAGGATCCTTCCCTAACCCTTAGGGGGGAGAAAGAAGTTGATATTTCTTTCTCGAGAGGATGATCGTCGTACGGAAACTTCGTCGCCGTATTTGTAACATCGATAAAATGGCACCGGACTCGCAACTCAACCGGTAACGAGGCAACTTTACGAAACAAAAGATCGTGAAGTACGCCAAGCGGGCATAAGGAGAATTACGCGACTGTATTTCTACGAAAGTACGGTTGCAGGGGGAGGGGGGCGCGCGACGGACGGAGCTAGGCCCATAACGCATGTCATATCTGAAGATCTTTACGAGGGAGCCGATCATTGGACGGGAGCGCAGCAAGAAACGGGCGACAAAGTTGGATATACCAATGAAAAGGAACGTTTCGAGCGACGTTGCTCGGCCGATGCGGGCCGACAAGTCTGTTACGGTAATCGCCGGATCGTCGCAACACTCGTAACGTAAAGCGTTGAAGGGCTCGTTTTGATTAATTAAGCCGCGGATGAAACGTTGGACGCCACGTTCGTTGAGATCATCGTCTCGTCATCACATTGCACGTATCGTTCGGGAAGATCTCTGAATCGAGAAACGGAGATCTCTTAGGGGAAATGAATCGATTGCGCAGATTCGCAGGAGGAATCGTAGCACGAATTCGGAAATGAGGAAAGTATTCGAAGGGAAAAGTAACTCGGTCGAGGAAAGGAAACGGGTTGTGGGAATGAATCGAATACGAAAATGATAACGAAAACTTAATATAATATGATATAACCGTAAATTAATCACGGGATCATTACTCCACATCATCGATATCTATCATCGATGAATAAAAAGTTGCTATTTGTAATTACATCAACTGATTTAACCTATCTACGACCTTTAATCAGCAACGACCATCCATCATCGTTTCCCTGGTAAAAGTGTCGAGACGTTCTATCCAAGAAACATCCGTTTAAAAGAATACCGAGGCAATCGATATTCTTCGATCGATGAATTTCTCGATCAAGATCTCCGTTTCTTCGCGAAGAGTTGCGTGACGTTTCGATGACGCTCGATCGTGCCTGACGACAAGCAAATGAGTAATTTACTACGCTCGATCATCCAAGCTCGCTCTCTTGTTCATTTTTTTCACTTTTTCTTTTTCTTTTTTTTTTTTTTTTTTTTTCCCTCCTTCTTCCGCATCAACCACGTCTAACTGTTCCTACGAATACCAAGAGACCTCTATCTCGAAACAACTTTTCAGGTTTAGGAGGGAGCTCGTGTCACGTTTCCCACGGCGGCGTTGTACCACGAGTTGCATACATACGCAAGAAACCAAACGCTATAAAACGTTCTTTACGCATTTCGCAGTTCGCCTCTCAGACGAACGACGAAAGGGAGGTACGCGCGAACGTTCGTATTTTTCTATTGGACCGCCACAGCTCATGAGCAGATTTATATTTATTTCGTCTGGGCCAAGACGAAACATTCTTGTTTAAAAGATTTTAACGATCAAGCTGAACTTTCCAGCCTTTCCTCGCGAACCGTCGCCTCTTTCTCTGTTTTGAAATAATTATATAACGTTTCCCTCGACGTGTTTGATGTATCTATAAATACTTGTTTTTTTTTGCTTCTTCTTCTTCTTCTTCTTCTTCTTTTTCTTTTCGACGAGAAGAAGCAACATCTATTTATGCAAATGAAAGAGAGGCTAGAAGAAAAAATATTCTCGGCTTGGACGATGGTGCAATCGATTCAAAGTGTCGAAGAGTATCGAGAATGATAAGTAACACGAGGCGAGTTTTACGGTAGCCAAGGTTGCGATCGACGAATTCGATTGCGCAATTGATGTAGTCGGAAATCGGTTCACTGGCACTGGTAGAAAGAAAGGTGTACGTACACGAGCGTTCGTGATTATTAGCTTTAGCCTTAACCAGTTACTCGACAGAGCACGAGATATATCAAGGTTGTAGGGAATTCGCGCAGCTTCCACGCGTTTCGCAAAACAGAGACGGAATTTGACGGATTTCCTCGTTTCAAAAAGAATGCGGCTTCACCGACAAGGCCGTTTAGGCCAGATCAGTTTCCTCGTCGATGTAGTATATTTAGTTGGAACGGTATCGGTATCGAAAAAATATTTAGATATTTTCGAACGAACAAATCGTAACGAACATTTATCGACGTTTCAAAATTATATAGGGGAAGAGTTGGAAAGAAAAGCAATTAAAATTATTCGGTCGCGGTGCTGTTGATGGATTAAGCGCGGTTTCGCCGCCAATTTCGCGTTTATCGCGGATGAATGTTGGAAAGTAACAGTGGAATATCGAAGGGATCGAATCGCGAACATACGAGTTTTACTGCTAGCCGCGGGTAATTTACGCGCGCACCCGTCCAGACGAGAGTTTCGACATTGATGCGGCGCGCGGAGGAGACTAAAGGAAAGATGGAAAATCAACGATGTGTAACTTTTATGGTATGTCCGAGACACGATTGCAAAACTGCTTGAGCGAGCCTCTCTGCCGCGATGAATCGCGATGATAAGAAGTGTAAAAAGGTGGCTAAGGAGGGGCGAAGCTCCTGGAGTAACTTGGAAACTTGGAATATCGAAAGAATTTTTAAATTTAAACGGGTGATTTGCTTCGACATACGCCTCGAATTCACCTCTTCGACCGTTGAAGCTAATTTTATTTTCCTATCTCGTTCAAAGGGAACATCGCTCGTCGTCATAATTCGTGGGTGAATAAACGTTGACAAATTTCGGTTAATATCTGTGGTGGCTGGAAACGCACCCTGCCTCTCCGCGATTAACCAACAGCCAACTATTTAATAAAGGTTTTTCGAGGCGCAGTTTAGGCTTATTTCCCAATTGATGCACTTGACGGATGATGCGTATGCAGTTAAATCGGCCAATCTATAGCGTTACTCAACCTGTTTTTAACAAGATATTTCCGTATTGTCGCGTTAGCGCACGCACACAACGTACGTAAAAGCGTCTCGACCCGCCCCTGTCCAGTCATGTCAGCGCTAAATGAACCATCAGGGCCGCCATAAATCCTCGGACTATCAGATGAGCAGCCACGGACTTGCCTGTCCCGGATATAACGAGGGACCACCGCCCAGCGTAATGGAAGCACTCTCTGTCGACGCTCCAAAGATACCTTCGAGATTGGACCAAGCCTCCTTCTTGTCCCCGGTGGACGAACCAACTCCATCTGATGCGATCTATAAGAGTTCCCTCTACCGACCAACTTCTCTAATTCCGTCTAATTCGACACGAAAATCATAAACTTTCTCTAAAAAAAATCTAAAACACCTTTCTCGATCTATCTAATAAAATTTGGGAAAATCATTCCTCCATCTAATTAAAAGTTATCACTTAAAATGCCAAGGTGAATTTAATTTTGATCAAAATTGGGAAACGTTTCCGATAATAGAGCGACGAGGTATGCGTGTCTCGATTCAATACGATCCATGACGAAAATCTAGGCAAGAAGCTTGACCAAGATCGGACAAAGGCGGGGAACATTGTTAATTACACGCCCGTGCTCGTATCGATGTGGCTACCGTAGGAGTAACCCGACCGAGTGGCCAACAGTAAAGATGGCATCGTGCACACTAACGAGTAACAAGTGGCGTGACGTTTCAGTTAGGCTTTACTTCGCGATGTGTGCGCAAGACTGAGAAGAAGATATCGGTATGCCACGACCAACCTATCTATCGTCTCACCTTCGGGCTCTAATTAACGCCGAGATTCATTATCGACACCTCGTTGTTCCGCCGACCACCGTCTTAATTTAAGTTAAGTTCAACGTTTCCTGTCACTTCGCCCCCACGTTTATTTCTTTATCAGGCGATAATTAGGATAAAATAAAATTTCAAAAAAACGATCTCTCTTTGCGTTTTAGGTACGATATCTCCAATTATTTCGTTTGGAAATTCGTTCAAGATCGAAAGGAACGCAGTAAAATGGCTATTTTGGGGACAGTGTTAGAAAATGTGAATTAGTCTCCAAAGCATGTACTATCTGCACCATTATGCAAAACAGAAATTTGTTCGGGGCACGAGTAACAAATGGTCCACGGTTCAAGCCATCATTTGTAAGGACACAACTTAGTTTGCATGTATGCATCTGCAGGCCGCATTAAGTTAGTTACGCTTAAATGCAAATTGACGCGTTAATCGATCTGTTCTGACTTCGGAACTCTGTGTATAATGAATCTCCGCACGAGATCGAGTCCGCCAAAAAATTATATTATCTCTCTGCTGTCTCTTGGCATATCTTAACTATCAAATATTTAAAAAAAAAAGAGAAAAGGAATAATATAATTATTTATTATAATATTGCAGTATCAACTCTATTAAAATATTATAATATCATAATGATTTTTTAAAAATCGAGTTCTATTAATTTCTCTTTATTTTTTCGTATAAATTTCTCACGATTGGATCGTGTCAAGTACGCCACGATTAATGTTCGATCGTTCTTCTCATACCATTTAGACTACTATATTGTATGCGAAATGATGAGAACCCCCTGAGCATCTATTCATGATTGTATGGCATAATAGTATCAGAAGGTATGTGTTCACCTGAGATCGATTCTGAATTCGCGCCCCGGGCTGATCGACGAACTCGTCACAGTACATTTGACTCGATCGTGACTGATATTCTAGCGGTAGTAACTTTCAATTCTCATATCTATTTACGAACAAAAGTCGAAACATCTTCTTTTGATTGCTCGGATCGAATTTGAACCGGAATGCAATATACGGATGATGAATGAAACGAATCAGACTATAATTATTTATTAGATGTGATCGAAATTATTCCGAAACCGTTACATTAAACATAGACGAAGGTTAATGTTGATTAAGACCTAATTATGATTATATGAGAAACTGTTTAAATCGATATTTGTGACATCGAATATAAAATAACGTTCTACGATATTCCTAACCTTAAATTAATTAACTTATTGCTTATGGATAATAAATACATGCAATCACTATATTCGTCGAATATATTATATAATAAATATAATCAATTATTCATAAATTCGAATTTTTAATCTTTGGATATGACTGAAAGTGGGTGAAAAAATAAAAATGCATGTGACTCACCATTAGATGCGGAGAATATTATTATAGATGCTCCTATAATCAATGTACTAGTAACCATCAAATGTTATAGAAAAACTGTAAAAAATGAAAAGAAATTATAAACACAATGATTTATAAAGTAAATATTATAGATATAAATATTTTTACAGACAAATATTTTTGTTCTATTAATTTAAAAGATTTTATTTAAAAAAAATTAAAGTATAATTATATAAAAATACTTACTTTTTGATTTCTAAAGTCATGATTTCTGGATTCTCTTGAGGGAAACACTGACTCTATTACCGAGAACGAATATTTTAAAAGAAAAAAATAAATAAATAAAAAACTATTAAAGCATTCGAATTATGTTTAACGAACAATCACTGATTCTAATTTCGCGTGCTTCTAATTTTTATTATTATAATTGAACATATAATTAATACAAGATATATATATTTCAAAAAATATTAAAAATACTATTACGTAACAAACACTGATTTTAATGATCGCATTGCAGGCAATCGCAACAATGCTGTGGAAATAAAATTGTATTAGTAAAAGGAGAAAAAAAATTAAAAGAAAACATTTTATTTCGTATTTTTCTTCTTTTTCTTCTAATATTCATTTCTTTTTCTAAATATTCTATCATGAATACATCAAAACATACATATATCAACTATTCTTCGAAAACTAAACGCACCTGTGTTTACAATTTCATGAAAATAACAATCAACAATGAAACTCGAATGATGATATTACAACCTTACAAAATATTTACGAAATATAAAAATTATTTCTAAAATTGAATCATTCATGCAATATATGTATGTATATCAATTATATATAATATTTCTTACTAATCTAATTAAAAAATAATGCCAACATGTACATACGTCTATCTTTATTAAAATAAGTTAAATGTTGGCAGCTCTGCATGAAAAATTATCGAATTCGTTGTTGAATATCGTTCGAAATACCTTTATCCTTTCCCAGTTTCTTTTTCTCATCATCACGATCAATTATACAATATAATAATCTACACAAAAAGAAACTTAAAATTTAAAATAAATTATATTATAAAAGAAATTAATTATATTAAAATGAACAATAATCGAATTCAAAAATTTGTACCATAAGCTATTGATAATTATATATATAAAATAAATTCAGAAGATTGCTTCGTATATTATAATATATTGTAATAAATTATTAAACAAATATATATTAATTAAACGAGGGTAATACCTATAAACTGGAAAAATTAGGAATGAAAATACGACGTTGATAATCGAGGTCATATACCTCAGCGGGATGACACATCCTATCACCATGATTTTCGACAGTAGAATGACTTCCCGCGTAATAGTACGTCAAGCAATTTTCTGATTGGCTGGCGTCGCACAACTTTTCTTCTACTCTAAATTGCGCGGGAAAAGCAATATTTTATTAAATAATATTCAATTTTTTTAAATAATAGAATAAAAAATAGAAAATATACTTTTTACACAAGATTTATTGTTTTTTACATTGTAATAAATTATAATAATACAGTTTTATAGATATAATAAATAATCTCATAAATAATTAAATATTAGCAATCTATATTGAATCATAATAATAATTATACATATTATATCAAACAATATAACACTACAAAATACCAATACCAATTACTAATGAAATATCAAATTATTTAAACTAATTGTTAAATATTTTGTAATTTAGAAGTTAATCGATAATTTAATTATATATATATATATATAATTAAATATTTTTACTTCAATTAATACACTTTTATTCACTATAATAATAATTACACTTTATATTACTTAAACTAAAATATAGTTTATTAAATTTAAAAATGTATAAATTAATAAAAATTTACTTTTTTTTATACACTTCCTCACAGACGAAAGAAAATGGCCGAAATGGTCGATGCAGATTGAATATCGAATAGCTTGTTATAACGATATATCGAATACAATCGAAATTCTGAACATTGCTTACCGAAAATTACAAGCCATTACAAGTTGGGTGTTGTGAGTTTTTATTTAGTCATTTATCTTTCCAATACGTGAAAGTTTTTATTTTTATCTATTAACATCATTTTTATAATTAAAAAATGACCGAGGATAAAACAGAATTTGTAAGTATTATATATTACTGTTATAATGTAGGTCGAGTCTACATAACCTTACTTTTTACAATACATAATTTATGTTTAAATTATATGTTCTATATAATTTCATGTTTTTTCTCATTTATAGGATTGGGGAAATGAAAAATTACAACGTGCTCAAAAAACAGTAGACGAATCTCCTTATGATTTAGAAGCATGGAGCATTCTTATTAGAGAAGCCCAAAACAGACCTATTACAGAAGTAAGGCCAGTTTTTGAAAAGCTTGTATCCGTGTTTCCTTCTGCTGGTCGTTATTGGAAAATTTATATAGAACAAGAGGTAATATTATTATATCTTTAAAGAAGAATAATTATTAAAAGTTATAAATATAAATATGCTGTTTTCATTATCTTATTAAATAATATAATTATCATTATTACAACAGATAGTTTATTTTATATTCTTTATGATTTTTTCAGATGAAAATGCGCAACTTTGAGAAGGTGGAAAAGGTATGTTAATATTAATTGTATGAGTTTCAAAATTTAATGAAAGCACTTATATATATATATATATATATATTGCTAAATTTATCGTTATATATATATTGTTGAAGTTGTTTGTTTGAGAAGATATATAATTTTCATTACTGATTTTAAAATAAAATTATTGAGTGAATTTTTTTAATATAAACTTATAATGATATGCATGTTTATTTATTAATCGAATGAATATAATTCTTAATTGAACATTGGTATTTAAAAAATTCTATTTTAGTTTTTTAGTGTATTAAGATTACATTTAATACTAGCAAGATATTATTAATCAATTGTGATCAAGTATTATCATACTATGTGATTTTAGGCATTTTGCATATTATATGAGGTGAATAAAAACAGTATTTCACCATACACAAATATCTCATTGATTATGATTGATCTGTTGGTATATTTGGGAGGTTGTTTTCTTTGTTGAATAATATGATATATATTTTAAAATATATTATAATATAAATATATATAGAATTAATAATAAATAGATATTATTAAAATAAATCAACTTACGAAGGCAGCTTCCTGAATGTAACAGCCTTGTATTCCTTCCTGCAATACATTTTTTAGTTGTGTTTAAATTATGTTATTTGAAATAAAATAATATTCATATTACATAAAGTGTAGATATTTTATTAAATACAACATGAAATAAAATTGTTATAAACAAATATTCAGCATTGAAATGATTCATAATGCAAAGTATATTTACCTCTTTGCATATAAGAAAGATTTTAATAATATTTGTCTCAATATTATGATTGAGACGATATAATAGTATTTTAATAGATATTTTCATAAATATGCTTTGGGAATTACATCATTTTCCTTTCCCTAGTACAGTACTTGATTAACATTTTCAAGTATTGTGAAATTTTTAAAGAGGTAGTATAAGGTGATGAAATAATAAATACACCAAAGTATTTATTTATTTTATGATTGTAATGTATAATAAAATTGAATATTTTCCATATTAAATTTCTACTATTTTGATCACCTTATGTTGCTTCAAATTGTCTAAATTTTTTTATCATGTTTTGGGATCATTCATTTCTAGATCCTACATAGGTCAATTATATTATTAATTACCCCATTTACAAAAAATAAATAAAGTTTTTATTTAATGGGGTTTATTTTGTGTTACCTTTATAATCTCATATCTGGAAACTTTTTCCCTAATTATTTCCCAATGAAAACATATGTTTATATAATAAAGTATTCTCAATTGATGCATTGGTGCATTATTATTTCTCCCATTACAAATAAACAATATTGTAGTAGTGATTGTATTAAAGACTTGCTAAATAAATTATTGAATTGTTATTTCCTGATATTTTGATGTGATTCTTATTGGTCTTAATCGATAATATGTGCTTTAAAAAAACTTGCCTGTAAGGGTAAGTAAGGTGGTAGATAATATGTAATGTATTGTGTAACCACACTTAAATGAACTTCACACAAATGTTATATTATATCTTTATATTGCTTCTAAAGTACTTGTTTTCTCTAACAGCTTTTCCAAAGGTGCCTCATGAAAATCTTAAATATTGAGTTGTGGAAACTTTACCTTTCTTATGTCAAAGAAACAAAAGCGAGTCTTACAACATATAAGTAAGTATTTATGTAGTTATATAGGTAATTGAATCAAAAGTTTAATATATAATATATTTTTAGGGAAAAAATGGCACAAGCATATGATTTTGCATTAGATAAAATTGGTATGGATATACATTCTTACAGCATATGGAATGATTATGTGACATTTCTTAAAAGTGTTGAAGCTGTTGGTTCTTATGCTGAAAATCAAAAAATTAGTGCTGTTAGAAAAGTAAAGATCCATATATTTTTGTTAAGTTATAAATAATGATATATATATATATTAGCATTTTGATTTATTATATATATATACATTTTAATATATTGATATTATTAATTATATATATTATTAATTATAGGTATATCAACGAGGTGTTGTTAATCCAATGATTAATATGGAACAATTGTGGAAAGATTATATGGCATTTGAACAAAATATTAATCCAATAATTGCAGAGAAAATGGCTATTGAACGTTCTAGGGATTATATGAATGCAAGAAGAGTTGCCAAAGAATTAGAAGCTGTAACAAGAGGATTAAATCGAAGTGCTCCTAGTGTACCTCCAACTGGTCATCCAGAAGAAGTTAAACAAGTATTTATTATACATACATATAAGT